GGACTTTTTCCAATGGGTCAACATTGTTTCTGTAATGGGAGGCCCAGAATTGGATACAATGCTCCAGATGTAGCCTCACTAGTGCTGAATAATGGGGAAGAATAATTTTTCTAGATCTGCTGGCAATGCTCCTCCTAATGCACCCCAATTTGCCACTAGCCTTCTTGGCTACAAGGGCACACTGTTGACTCGTATCCAGCTTCTCATCCACTGTAAACCCCAGATCCTTTTCTGCTGAACTGCTACTTAGCCATTCAGTCCCCAGCCTGTAACAGTGCTTTGAATTCTTCTGTCCCAAGTGCAGGACTCTACACTTGTCCTTGCTGAACCTCATCAGATTTCTTGTGGCCCAATCCTCCAATTGTCCAAGTCACTCTGGACTCTATCCCTGCCCTCCTTATGTATCTACCTCTCTCCCTAGCTTAGTGTGATCTGCAAACTTGCCGAGGGTGTAATCCATCCCCTCATCCAGGTCGTTAATAAAGATGTTGAACAAAACCAGCCCTAGAACCAATTGTTGGGGCACTCTACTTGAAACCAACCAGACATCGAGCAGTTAATCACTAGCTGTTGGGCCCAACGATCTAGCCAGCTTTCTATTCACATTACAGTCCATTTATTCAATCCCTACTTCCTTAATTTGTTGACAAGAATACTGTGGCAGACCATATCAAAAGCTTTGCTAAAGTCCAGGTATATCGTATCTACCAACTTTTCCATATCCACAGAGCCAGTTACCTCATCATTGAAGGTAATCAAGTTGGTCAGGGAAGACTTGCCCTTAATGAATCCATGTTGACTATTCCTGATTACTTTCCTCTCCTCCAAGTACTTCAAAATGGATTCCTTGAGGATCTCCTCTACAATTTTTGTGGGGACTAAAGTAAGGCTGACAGGTCTGTAGTCCTCTGGATTGTCCTTCTTCCCTTTTTTAAAGATGGGCACTACATTTGCCTTTTTCCAGTCATCTTGGCTGCATCTAGATTGGCATGATTTTCCGGAAATGCTTTTAACGGAAAACTTTTCAGTTAAAAGCACTTTCGGAACAGAGCGTCTAGATTGGCACGGACGCTTTTCCGATCTAGATGTGCTTTTCCGCAAAAAAGCCCTGATCGCCATTTTCGCGATCAGGGCTTTTTTGCAGAAAACAAATCTGAGCGGTCTACACTGGTCCTTCTGTGCAAAGGGGACTTTTGCCTGAACGGGAGCAGAATAGTATTTCCGCAAGAAGCACTGATTTCTTACAGCAGGAAGTCGGTGCTTTTGCGGAAATTCAAGCAGCCAGTGTAGACAGCTGGCAAGTTTTTCCAGACATTTGCCTTTTTCCAGTCATCTGGGATTTCTCCCGATCTCCACGACTTTTCAAAGATAATGGCCAAAGGCTCCTCAATGACATTTGCCAACTCCCTCAGAACCCTCGGATGCATTAGATCTGGCCCCATGGATTTGTGTATGTCCAACTTTTCTAAATAGTTCTTAACCTGTTTTTTCATCACTGAGGGCTGCCCTCCTCCTTCCCATGCTGTGTTGCCTAGTGTAGTAGTCTGGGAGCTGACCTTGTCTGTGCAGTCAGAGCCTGGGAAGCCTTAGCCTCCCACTAGTTCGAACTAAAGGGCTACACAGCCCTTAGTTCGAACTAGCTAGTTCGAACTAGGCGTTAGTCCTCGTAAAATGAGGTTTACCTAGTTCGAACTAAGCGCTCCGCTAGTTCGATTCAAATTCGAACTAGCGGAGCGCTAGTGTAGCGCATAGGAAAGTTAGTTCGAACTAACGTCCGTTAGTTCGAACTAACTTTCTAGTGTAGACATACCCTTTGTTATTACTAATGTGCCTGTTGAAACCTTTCTTACCCTTCACATCCCTTGCTAGCTGCAATTCCAGTTGTGCTTTGGCCATCCTGATTACACCCCTGCATGCTCGAGCAATATATTTAAACTCCTCCCTAGTCATCTGTCCAAGTTTCCACTTCTTCTAAACTTCCTTTTTGTGTTTAAGTTCCCCAAAGGTTTCACTGCTAAGTTAAACTAGTCGCCTACCATATTTGCTATTCTCACTGCACGTTGGGATGGTTTGTTCCTGTGCCTTCAATAAGGCTTCTTTGAAATACTGCCAGCTCTCCTGGGCTCCTTTCCCCACTATGTTAGTATCCATCAGTTCTCTGAGGGAGTCAGTCTGCTTTTCTGAAGTTCAGGGTTTGTATTTTGCTGTGCTCCTTTCATCAGGATCTGGAACTCGACCAGCTCATGGTCACTGCTGCCCAGGTTGTCACCCACCTCTACTTCCCCTACTAATTCCCCCCCACTCCCATTCCCTATGTATTTAGAAACTGGACCTTTAATAACTCCATTCCACTGAAGAAGTGGGTTGTGCTAACGAAAGCTCATGATACCATCTACAACATGTTTTATTAGTCTCTAAGGTGCTGTAAGACTATTTGTTGTTTAAGTTTTTGCAGTTCTAGTCTAACTCGGCTACCCCTCTGAAGCTTTTAATTCCTCCCTGTTTGTGAGCAGCGGGTCAAGCTGCGCATGGCCCCTGGTTGGTTCCTTCAGCACTTGTGTCAAGAAGTTATCCCCAACATTCTCCAAAAACTTCCTGGATGTTGTGTACTGCTTTAATCACCCTGACAATAAAGTCCCCCATGAGAAGCAGGGCCTGCGATCTGGAAACTTCTCTTAGTTGTCTGAAGAAAGCCTCATCTGCCTGATCTGGTGGTCTATAGCAGATACCGACTACAACATCACCCCTGTTGCTCCTGCCTCTAAACTTAACCCAACGACTCTCATCAGTCTATTCTCCCACTTTATACTGGTGCTCTGAGTAATCATACTGCTCTCTTACAGACAGTGCAACTCCTCCTTTTCTCTCCTGCCTTTCTTTCCTGAACGATTTATACCCTTCCATGACAGCGTTCCAGGCATTTGAGTTGTCCCACCAAGTCTCCATTATTCCAGTGCTGCTGAGTTTCTCCTATGGCAGTGTTTTCCAATTGTGAAAGCAAGGGTTCCGCGAAGAGCCAGCACTCCCGCACCCCATCTTAGAGACAGACCTGTGGTGGGAATCATGGTGGGGTTTTTTGCTCGACGAAACAAGGCGGGTCATTTTTTTAAGGTAGTTCTAGGGGTTCTGTGGCCAAATAAAATTGGGAAACACTGTCCTACAGTATAGTTGTTCAACACTTTTTTTTTAATTAAACAGTAATTTTCATAGAAATACCTTTTCCGTTTTTTTTTAAGAAAGCGACAAGGAGTCCTGTGGCACCTTATAGACTAACTGAAGTGTAGGAGCATAAGCTTTCGTGGGCAAAGACCCACTTCGTCAGATGCATGTAGTGGAAATTTCCAGAGGCAGGAATAAATATGCAGGCCGGGATCAGGCTGGAGATGACGAGGTGGATCCAATCAAGGAGGATGAGGCCCACTTCTAGCAGCTGATCTGGAGGTGTGAATTCCAAGAGAGCAGAAGCTGCTTTTGTAGTTAGCAAGCCATTCACAGTCTTTGTTTAATCCAGAGTTGATTGTGTCAAACTTAAAGATGAACTGTAGCTCAGCAGTTTCTCTTTGAAGTCTGGTCCTGAAGTTTTTTTGCTGCAGGATGGCTACTTTTAGATCTGCAATTGTGTATCCAGGAAGATTGAAGTGTTCCCCTACAGGTTTTTGTATGTTGCCATTCCTAATATCAGATTTGTGTCCATTGATTTGTGTCCGTTTTTTTTAAGGAATCTTCTGTTTTTTGTTTTTTTTTTGTTTTGTTTTTTTAAATATTAGTTTAAAATGAATGTTCTGGTTTTCCTTCCTTTTCTTCTCCTTCCCCCGCTATTCTTCATGGGAGAGAACAGTTGAAGTGGAGGGGGCAACATTTTTGTTAGATGACAAATAAAACTGCCATGGTTTTTGTTTATGACTTGCAAAACATGCTTCTGTTTCTTGGCTCCAGTTGTATTCTGTACTTAGCCTGGGGGACCAGGAGATGGGATTTCTGGGCCTGCCTCTTCTGTTGGGCTGCATTTGCAAAGTGAGGGTAAAATGCCACCAAGTCAGAAAGGCAACATTTGGCAAGCGCTTTTCATTGCTGTGGCAGACACAAGGTGCAAGGTTAATCCTGGCTGGCCCTGGCTGGCTGTCTGTTCTTGGACAAAAAACAGGCCTATGTAGCACTTAAAAGACTAACAAGATGGTTTTATTAGGTGATGAGCTTTCGTGGGCCAGACCCACTTCCTCAGATCAAATTGTGGAAGAAAATAGGCATGACCATATATACCAAAGGAATACAATAAAAAAAAAATGAACACACACACAACATTTACCTCCCCATTCCTCCTCTGTTCTGAAATTTGATGTGTCCTTTTTGTATGTGTTCACTTTTTTTTGATCGTATCCCTTTGGTATATATGCCAGTTTTCTTCCACAATTTGATCTGAGGAAGTGGGTCTGGCCCACGAAAGCTCATCACCTAATAAAACCATCTTGTTAGTCTTTAAAGTGCTGCATAGTTCTGTCTTATGTTTCAGCTACACCAGACTAACACGGCTACATCTCTATCACTGTTCTTGGACAAGTCACTTTTGCCATAATTTTGGTGTGGGAAATAATGAGGCCTGGAAGTGGTTTGAGAACCCTGACTGGAGGGGGCAATTCTAGCGCGAAGTATAATGTTGCCTGTATAAACGCATCTGTCTTGTGAGTGATGTGTCAGGAGACTCCGACTCGGAGAATTTTCCTGAGAGGTGATACAGGGGAGGGGGAGGAGAGGGTTATGCAAACAAGACGGCTGGAGGTAGCTAGTTATCAGCACTCAGTGCGTAGTTTGTAAACTGAGGAAAGGTCCCTGTTGGACCTGTCTTGGTTTCTATAAATCTCTGGCTCTTCTGGTGTGTGGGTGGAGTGGGGGAAGGGTGCAGAAGAGTAGGGCAAGGTCAGCTAGAAACAAACATGCCTCTGTGTTCTTTTGCTCCTGCCGCCAGCTAATCAGCTTAGTTTTCTAACTTTTCTTTCCGGCAGATCTTGTAAAGCACGGGTGTGAGAGGGTAGAACAAACCATCCAGTCCTCGGGCTCCAGGCTGTGCTCCTAGTGAGTATAAACACTTCTCGATGTGACACTAGCCCTTTAATTTGCAGCCTGTTAACCTCTGCTCTAGACAATAATTGGTGAGCAGAGCAGGCTGGCACGAGCCAGATGTGGGCAGGGCCCTGGGAGCTGCCTCCAGCACAAACAGGCGTAATCAGGGAGCGTCCCCTGCCATGCCATTGATTCTGCTTTGGAAGAGGGGGTCTCTAACTGCTGGGAGTCCAGGTGCAATGTGTGATTTGCAGAGGGCGAGCGTTGTGCTGTAAGGGGTGTGTGTGTGTGAGAGAGAGAGAAATGCAGAGTTCAGTGTGTGGCTTGCCTGGCTGGTTACAGAGGGTGCAGACGAGTGGGGGTTTTCATGGGCCTGGATAAAGCTCCAGAGATGAATGGGCCCACCCATATGTCTGCAAAGCTTCCTCCAAGAAGCTTTTGGGGTGTGGGAAAGGAGCTTGGTTTTGATATTGTTTAACTTTATCTAAAGGTGAACGGTGAGGGGGCGGGTTTAGAAAGGGAAGTGGGGTGCTGGGGCTGGCTCTCTTTGTTCTTATTGACAAGATGCCCAACCACAGAAAAACCAGCTCCCAGGAACAGGAGAGGGCCAAGCTACAGTGTCTTTCAGCTCCTTCCTGCACCTGTTGAGCCAAAGTTGCCTTTGGAGCTGGGGACCAAGAGCCACTGTTGAGCATGGCTCTTTCCTAAAAGATACCCCAATTAATGCTGACTTGGCTGCCAGAGCTCACCTGGGGAGGGTTGCCAGGTGTCCAGTTTTGAACCGGACAGTCCAGTATTTGAGCTTTCTGTTCGGGGAAACAAATTGAGAAAGTAGAAATGCCCGGTATTTTCTAAATCAGATGGAATGTAGATTGTGATGTAATATCAAGCGTGTCCGGTATTTTTGTTGAAACTATCTGGCAACCCTACACCTGGGACCAGGCCTGCTTTGCTACTTGGGCTAGTAAAGGCCATCAAACTGTGTGGCTACGTCTACACTGGCATGATTTTCCGGAAATGCTTTTAACGGAAAAGTTTTCCGTTAAAAGCATTTTCGGAAAAGCGCGTCTAGATTGGCAGGACGCTTTTCTGCAAAAGCACTTTTTGCGGAAAAGCGTCCGTGGCCAATCTTG